TCGGGCTTCTGACGCTCCCTTTGGACTTCCGACCCACCCTCGGGCTTCCGACGCTGCACAGCCCCACTGGCCTTGCACCGGCGTGCAAGGAAGCCCAATCCCTAGCAAGATGAACTCTGCTTACACGGCGAAGGAGCCCTATCCCCAGGACGCCTATAAACGACCAGGGCCGGGTTTGGGACGAGCAAGAAGGATGGCAAGGGCCAGAAAGGAGGAACGAAGCGAGGAATGATGGAAGGATGCAGAAAGGAGCAGGGCAGCAGTCTGGAAAGCACGCATTCCCATCACCAATCGGTTGCTTGATATTTGGCGAAAACGTCCCAACGAAACCTCAAGGGGCTGTATGCCCGTGAGGTAGCGTTAGCTCGCCCGATCAAATACTACCACCAATATGTCGGGTGAAACGGTTGGTGCCTTGCTGCGAAGCCGCAAAAAGGTGACTAGCACAAACTATGAATGCGGCCGAGCTCAGCTCTGGCAGTACTGCCCGGACAGGCTCAGGTCAAGTCAGTTGCGATTTCCTCCCGCTTCTGGGCATCACAAAGTATGAGGACTATAGGCAAGCTAGATTCGGGATTGGGGAAGCTAGATGCAGACGATGTTGGAACGTCCACGAAGGTTGGGGTGGCCAACGCTCGAGAGACAGGCCAATACCAGAGCAGGCCTGAAACGGTTGAGACACGCTGGACCAGGGTAGAAGCAGCGAGCAGAAACCTGTTGTCCAAACACTTAGATTCCTTATAGGGCGATGTATCGAGGAGATGTGTGGGGCACCAGGATGAGGGGCACAACCCTTGAACCCGAGATCATGCATCCAAGCGATGCTCGGTTCGATCGAATCGATTGCACAATCGTGCCGAGCGAATCGGATCCAATCAGCGCAGGAAAGGGAATCGCTCTTGGGGATGCACAAGAGAAACGATCGATGCCGCGCGCTGACCACGGCACCAACCGTCAAATCGCTCGAATCGCGGACCTCGGAAGAGGCGAGGTACGACCAGCCAGGGAGAACGCGAGGGGAGGGATGAGCAAACGAGGAGGGGAGACCAGGAAGTAGGCGGGGCGAGGAAGGAGAGAGAGAGAGAGATAAAGAGAGAGAGAGAGAGATAAAGAGAGAGAGAGAGAGAGAACGAAAGAGATAGAATTGCCAAAAACATCCGCCACCATATTCCCTCTTCGCTCTGCCGTCCTCCCTCTCCCCTCCTCCCTCACCCCTCCGTGCTCCCCTATCCTCCTCCATCTTCTGTTTCCTCCCCCCTCCGCCGCCTCACCCCCTCTTCTTCCCAATGCCGGATGCTCATCCTCCTGCCTCGACCCAACACCATTTTTCGTCGCACCCCCTCCTCGTGCTCCTTCACCCGCCCTCCACCCTCTGCCTTCCTCCTTCTCCTCCTCCCTCCTCCTCCTCCGCCCTCCTCCTCCTCCTCCTCCTCCTCCTCCTCCGCCCTCCTCCTTCTCCTCCTCCTCCTCCTCCTACTCCTCCTCCTCCAGGCCGCAAGCTCGGCCCGGGCCCCACGGGGCCCCGCGAGCCTGCGCCGGGCGCTCCCTGCGCTGCCCTCCCCTAGCCGCGCCGGCAGCGGGCCGAGCGGGGCCGGGACCCGGCCAGATCCCGCGCGGGCGGCCCGGGGCCCGGCGCTGGCGAGCCGCCCCGGCGCCCCGCCTCTGCGCCCGCGCGCAGGGGCCGGGGCCGAGGCCGTGCTGGCCATGCACGCGTGGGCGGTGCTGCGGGGCGGCGCAGTGGCCGAGGGTGCGTCGAGGCTCGCGCCTCGGCGGCGGCGCGGTCCTGGCGGGCAAGCGGCCCGGTAAAAGTCGAGGGAGGCGCCATGCCTCGGGCGCGCCGGGGAGGTGCCGGCGCGGAGCAGCTGGGGCTCATCCGCCAGCGGAAGCGGCCAGAGTGTTGCGCTGGCCCTCAGGGCGAGAGGCCGGTGGGCGTTCGCCCTGAACTCCGAGGGTCCGACATCGAGGAGGTTGGCAAGCGCGGGCGTGGAGCGGCCCGGGCGGTGGCGGGCCTCGTGGGCGGCTCCGACGAGGGCGACTGCCGGACCCCGCGCGGACACCCTGCTCGGACGCACGTCCTGCCCATCCCGATCCTGATCGCGTTGCAATCTCATCGGCTCCCCGTTCCGTCCAATCCTCCACGCCCCTCATCCTCTCCCTTTCGTTCTCTTCCGCCTCGCATTTATGCACCGCTCCCTCCTCATCCGAATCCGTGTCTTCCCTCTCGCTTGTTCCTCCCTCTGGAGGTCGGCACGTTCCGTACTCTCCTCGTCCTCGTATGACTTGTCCTGCTGCTCCTCCTCCTCCTCCTCCTCCTCCTCCTCCTCCTGCAACCTCTTTTGCGATCACCTCCCCAAGCTGCGCCTCCTCGGCGACAACGACAATATAGTCGGGCTTGCGGTTGCTGCGCGACCAGAAGTCGGCAGGTACCACGCCGCGCGTCTAACCTCCCGCCCACGCGCATGATCCTCAACATCCGCCTCCCTCCTCTGGCTCCCGCCTCCCCAGGGGGGGCCAAAAGGTACACCGTGGACCTATCCCAGGGCTCGTTCTGATCAGAACTTCGGGGCGAATCCGGCGATGGCGACGAGGGCCTCCCAGGAGGCCCGACGAGGCGAACACAGGGGAAGGGTAGCGGTATCGGGTGCCCTTCTCCTCCTCCGGCTCCCTCCTCCTCGCTCTCCTCAGTTCCGTCCTCCTCCTCCTCCTCCAGCTGTGCTCCCACCAGCCCGTTTCCTATGTGCTTCCTGCTCCCACCCTGGGCTCCTGCCCCTGGTCTTCCACTTCCCGTGGGCCCCCTCTGCTCACCTTCTCTCCACATGGCAATCCTCCTCTCCCCCTCCTCCAACCTCCGCCTCCTCCTCCTCCTCCTCCACCTCCCCATCAAGCTTCCTCCTCCACCCCTTTCCCGCCATGTCTCTCTGTCTCTCTCTCTCTCTCTCTCTCCCTCTCTCTATATACATATATATATATATATATGTATGTCTCTCTCTCTCTCTCTCTCTCGCTCGTGCTTTCGTTTGTTGTTGTGTTTCTCTCTCTCTCCCTCTCTCGCTCTCTCACTTCATCCTCCCATATCCGCATCGTCTGGCCCACTCCTGCCCCCGCTGCTCAGTCTGGTTGTGTGGCTGCTCCCCATCTTCTTCCGCTGACTGCGAGGGAGCCGAATACTCAACCGAACAACGCACGCACTTCCTCGGCGACGACCGAAACAGAGAAACGGAAAGAGAGAGAGAGAGAGAGAGAGAGAGCGAGAGAGAAAGAGAGAGAGAGAGAAAGAAAGAAAGGAGAGAGCATCGTAGGCACCTGTGTAGGAGCAGCATTAGAGGGATGGGGAAGGGAGGGATGAGTGGAAGGAGGAGCGGCAGAGAGGATGATAGTGCGATGTGAGGAAGTAGAAGGGAAGTGCAAGGACGTACAAGGGAAGTACAAGAGATGTGCAAGATAAACACAAAGAAATACATTGCCCAGCGCGGACGCTGTCGAGGTTCTTCAGCGATTGGCATTCGAAGCCCACAACATGGCACCGACAAGAGCATCCGAGGCTGCTGCTCTACGCATCAATTACCAGCATGTGGCACAAACCGACGCGTTGTGGGCACGATCAAATCATGCCAGGGAGTTGTATGAGTGGGCGCAACTCCTTTCTACAGTGACATGCTTCCCATCGGCAGCAAGCGCATACAGTATTAGTCAGAGTGGACACTGAACAGATCGACGCAAGAGGTCTCCCGCCCCTCTACGACCTCCCGAGAGGGAGGCGGGGCCACCACACCTAGTGCGCTGCCTGCCCGACACCGGACGACGAGGGTCGGGGAACGATGTTGTGGCGAGGGGGACTTCAGAGGACGCTGGTGGGAGCCTTTCGTCATCACCTGAGTGGCCACAGTGGCTCCTCCAGTGCCCCCCATTGGCCGCCGGTGGCCGCTGGTGGTCCACCGCTAGCCACTGGCGGCCTCCCGTGGCTCCTCCACTGGCCCCCTGTGGCCGCCAGTGGCGCCTCTGGTGGCCCCAACGGCTCCAGTGATTCTCCAGTGGCCTCCAACGGCTCCTCCAGTGGTCTCGAGTAGCTCCTCCACTGGCCCCCAGTGGCCTCGAGTGGCCACCAAAACAGGAGGGGCATTGAGCGCGAACGACGCAACCGACGAAGGAGGGGAAAGAGGAGATGCAGGGAAGAGGGAAAGAGGGGCGCCACTGAAAACCGCTGGGGGCACCAACAAACCACTGCGGACCACTGGAGGCGTCGGTTTCTGACACCGCGTGCGCCGTTCAACCTTGAACAATCGGCGGTGTTTGCAATCGCAAGTTCACCTTGGCCGACTGTAAGCCACTGGCGGCGTTCACGCTTGAACGCCGGCGGCGGGGTCCTGAGCGCGTCGACACGACACAAACCTGCCGTACGAGGAGGAGGAGGAGGAGGAGGATGAGACTCCTAAACAGCATGGCGAGCGAATACTCTGTGCCCGATCGGGCTTGCATACTTTACTTCGTCTCTGGCTCCCTATTTGTCATTCTGCCGATTACGCTCGCATTTCACAAGCTGCCTCTGCGCATAGGTCGGCCATGAGCTGCGAGTCTTCTTACCATACAGACGCTGCAGTCTTTGTGGATTGAAAAAAAAACGACTCCTTAGCGCGATGCCAAAGATGCGGGCGACCGCTTCCCTCGCCTCACCCAATTTTGCGACTCCTTCGCCCCTAAGACGCGAAACCACCACAAGGACAACATCTGCGCTGAATCGGATCGCGAAATCGGATCGAATCAAATCGCCAACGAATCGTCCCGAATCGGATCGGTATCGAATCGCCGCGCACCGCGCACCGCTTCCGGCTGGCCCTGGCCGATGCCGGTGAACAGAGCGGGATCGCATCGCATCGGAATCGCGGCCCCAGGCCAGCGAATCGAATCGCACCGAAGCGTATCGCAGGCGGCCTGGAGGATGTATCGGGCGCCGCGGCTCCTCCCCAACGCCGTCGGAAACACTCTGAGAGCGCTCTGGAACGCTCTGGAACGATGCATCCCTGTTCCTGCCCCGCGTTTCCTCCGTCCCTCCCTTCTCGGGTCGTCCCCCGCCCCGTGCCGACCGGCCGCAAGCGACCCACGGCCAGAACTCCTTTGTCTTGGTAGTCCCCAAACGTGGTGGTGACAACACCTGGCGGTGAGTCTCGGGCGATTTGGTGTCACCACCCGGTTTGGGGACTCGTGCGGTTTTCCGAGGATGTCCTGGACACTGGTGGGTCCAGGAGTCACAAAACCCGGTGGTGACCCCGCGTCCCCAAACCCAGCGGTGACCTTTCTGGGGATTCCAGATCGCCACACGGTATCTCACCACCCGGTTTGGGGGTTCCCAATTGTCGGAACAGGGGGCTTCGTGGTACCTGCCTCCCCCGCCGGGGCAAGTCCTCTATCGGGGCGCCCCAAGATCTCGGAAGTGGGAGTCCATCTCAAAGGGGAATCCTTATCATCCTTCTCGGGAGGTTTGAGGACGGGGGTCCTTCTCCCTCTCCTCGAGTATGGTGCCGAGGCGGGACCCACCTCTGGGGACGACTTTGCTCGGGACGACTGTGGAAGTCAGCGGCGAGGAGGTTCAGAAGAGTCTGCCTGCACCCGCCCACCAAGGGCACTCATCCAGTGCTGCGTGAATTATTCCGCAGTAGTCTTGGAACTCCGAACGCGCTTGGCGGTCTTGGCTCCTTCGTCGAATGGCGACGCTTATGACGGAGCAGCAGGAGAAGCAGAAGGGAAAAAAGAGCACAGTGAGGCGAACGCAGGACGACCAGGAGGGGCACAGAGACCATTCATGGCAGGATCAGAACAGTCACGAGGGACATGCAAACAATGGAATGGTGAGCAGGGGTGCAGATCGAGATGCTGAGGAGGAACAGCGCGGTGTGGCACATGGAAGAGCGGACAGCACGAAACATGCGGAGACGGTGCAGGTCGCGTCCTTAGATCCGTGGTATCGATCAGTGTGCGACGTCTCCACGGAGGAAACAGCTGATTGTAGCGATGGGCGATGTCCCATGATATTGCTGCGCGGGGATAGAAAGTTGGGGGGCAAACGATTGGGAAATGGATAACAGCATGCGCCACGATATCACAACATGACTCACCTCGAGGCTACCAATTGAAGAGATACGCAAAAGATGGCAAACGATACAAATTAAGGTGTGATCGGGCGTGCTGTCCGTTTGCGACTGGCATGCTATCGTGTCAGCAATGGGAATGGCACGGCGCCACATCATGATCATCGGACATGCAACACATTGGAACTGCCCTGCGTTGCACAATCGTCGATGCAAATCATCAAAACCACTGACATGCACCGCGACACACGGGTTAACCGATCGAGATCACTGCGAATTGAAAGGCCATCGTCAAAGCCTGGTTTCACTCCTGCCGACTGCATCCTACCTCCTGGACTTGGTCGGTCAAAATGAGCGGCCAGAATCCTCCGTTACGCAAATAAATATGTTGACAAGCGATCTGGCTAGGCAAATCTGCTGCATCCACGGAGAAATGTCGCGGGGCGGCACGACAAAACGATGATGTTGCGAATGACCCGTGCATCTACGAAGACGGGGCTTTCTCCTGAATAAATGGGAGGGCAAGAACCCAACGCCGAAGAGGAATGGCAGAAGACCGATAAACCTACCAGAATGAAGAAAAAATCTGCCAAACTATGTTGCATACATTATAACCTTCGCTGGTGGCCGGCACTTGCAACTAATTTCCAAATACTGGTCCGTGTACCTGTCGGTTTCGTTCTCACTTAGCGGCACGTGGCCATATATAAGGGTACATCATGAAGGACCTCGAATGACGCTACGTCGCTGATGGTGCTTGAGTCAGGTCGCGCGAAGCCTCTGCAAGTTGCCGATAGCGTATGTATGGATCAAATTCTCCGACGAGGAGGCATCGCAGCACAAGAGCTTCTGGAAAAATTCCTGCGCGGAAGGGCGGGCGAGTGGAAGGATAGGAACCTGGCGGCGCTGCCATCATATCTGGTGACGCCCTTGTGTCGCCCGACCAATTCCATAGCGTTCGCAATCGCCTCCTCACCACTATCCCCGACTTATCTCGATTGACGCGGAAAAAGTGGGAACGCATCAATTCAGGAGCAATGTCGATCCTGGGGCAACTGTTTCTCACGAGCATGCCCCTTTATGGCGTTGCCCATTCCATGAGAATCGTCTGCTTCAATGGTATCTGCCACAATCTAGCCCTTGACATTCTCCCTACATATCATGTGCGTATCGTCGTCGCTGGTAGCAGAGAGAGAATGCGGTCCTCCTCTTTGTGGTCCTGCGCAGGACGTTCAGACACTAGAAACAACGACGGCGCTGATATGCGTCATGACCGCGTCTGCTGCTATGTAGTGACTGTGCCAACACATCTGCCCATACTTCCATACAAAGAAAAGAACCATTCAGTCACTCACTCATTCCATACGACGGAACTCGTTGGCAAAGCAATGCACGCCGACTGTCGCTTTGCGCAAACTGATGTCTCCCAACAATCACGTATACTATAGATCTATTATTGTATGCAGCAAGAGGGGGATGAGGAAGACATAAACAACACATACACGAACCTGCGATACAACAAATGGGATGCAACATATAGATCATTCAACATCCAAAATTACGAACGGTAGAATCCGTGTCCAGGCAAAAAGCCATTAAATTGATGGCAACTCAGTCGGGTTACAAATCTTCACAAGGCACCGGTCCAGTGAACAACACGGTGCGCTTCCAGATCGACGACGAAGGGGCAAGGCTCGGGGGAGAACGGTTCAGGGGGGGACACATCGAGCTGGAATGTGCGATACATCGCAGATCGATGAGCGATAGGCTTCGATGGCGGAACCGCACGGTCCTGGGCGGGGGCCGGATTAGCAGGCCCTTCTCGGCGATGAGTGGGCGATTGGGGGTCGATGTGTCCCCACCCGAGCTTATCCCCCCCCGTGCGCTGCACCCAGACAAGAGAATTCTTCGCGTGATCAAGAGGCAAAAGGAAACGGGTGCAGCTTTCGGTTCGCGACCAACGTCGCATCAATTTCGCAATATGCCGATCCAGAAATCTCGAGATCTATCTCTATACATATACATATATATACATATATATAGGTTTCGCTGTCTACGGTCTGAAAATATTCCTCGATCCCACCAGCAACACGAACACACATTCCCTTTTCCGTATTTCTATCATCTGGGACCCTGCGACCCCCCCCGCCCTGGATCCTTGGCCCCAAGGACACCCTGGACGCCCTTGCAGACGGTCCCCTGTGCTTTCCGGGGCCCCTGAAGCCCCTACTGGGCCTAGGCAACGCGCCCTCATCGGTCAGGAGGGCAGCCCCACTGCCCCGCGAAAGCCATCAGAGGCCCCAGACAACCACCAGACGCCCGAAGACGACCCAAAGAAGATCCCCAAGAGGCGCTCGAAACGCAAAAACACATTGATGTTGTACAATGTTTGCATGCGTTTGGGCATGCAGTGCTATTCGGTCTTCCGGGCGTCCAAAACCGCCCAGGAGGCCAGAAGCTCACCCCAGATTTAACCAAGAGCGCTTCCAGGTAATCCAAGGAGGAGCCCCAAAACGGCCCAACAGGGCTCCAACATGGCTCTCGAAAAGAGCCGCATTGCAGGACAAGATGGCTCCAAGACGCCCACCAGAATCAGTCCGCATCGTGACCCAATCGCTCAAGGAGGCCGCGGTTGGAAGCAAGGTGGCCCAGGGAAGCCCCCTGGTGGCCCCCAGAAAGAACACAAGAGGCCTCCAGAAGACCTCAACAATCCCTAATCAACTCCCCTTAGGCCTCCCAGAATTTCTCCTAGGATGACCATCCGCAAAAAGAGATGAGGATGGGGACGAGTTCGCAGGGTAAGGTGAGAGTGACGACGAGAAAGACGAAACATGAACGACGAATGATCGATATACGTTCCGTTTTACATTATTGCCTCCTGTCTACGTGCCTAATCGCAAGGACCAAACTGCACGGCGGAAACGCAAATGGATTCTTGTGTATATTGTTTGATATATATATATATATATATATATATATATATATATACGTATGTATACATAATATATGTATATATTTCCAGATATGTATGTATATTCAACTTTGGGGGGCGTACGCCGAATAATCCGCTGCCTCCTGAACGGGGGGGGCGAGTGCCACACCCATCGACGAGCCGTTGAAGCTCCCACGCAACGGCGGTATGTCATAGAAACTGGCTGGGCGAATGCAACCACATTCGGGGGGATGAGGAGGAGGCGGAGGAGGAGAAGGAGGAAGAGGAGGTAAAAAGGAGAGAACGAAAACGGCAGAGGAGGAGGAGGAGGCGGAGGAGGAGGAAGAGGAAGAAGAGGAGGAGAAAGAGGAGGAATATTACGAGGAAGAGGAAGAAGAGGAGACGGCGGAGGAGGAAGAGGAGGAAGAGGAAGAGGAAGAGGAAAAAGAGGAAGAGGAAGAGGAGGCGGAGGAGGAGGCGGAGGACGAGGACGAGGACGAGGAGTAAAAAGGAGAAAACGAAAACGGCAGAGGAGCAGCCCGAAGCCAACTGCGATACAACGCTCGGGCCAACTGCGACACACGAGCCACTGCGCGCAGCCGGAAACTCGGGACAACGGTAGAGTTGGATAAGCATGCAACTCTCTGAATCCGAGCTCCGTGGAGGACCAAGTACCTCAACAACCACACAAGTGCGCAATATGGGAAGAGGAGAGGGGAGGAGAAGACGGAAAAGGAGGGGGGGACGGCGGAGGGAACCAACCAACAACCTGGAACAACACCCAATCAAAACCTGCCACAGGCGAGCCGTTGCGCGCATCCAGGGGCTGGGAAAACAGGCGTCCATCACAAAACCCAGCCCCGATTGGCGAGAAGAGAAACGAACAAGGAGGAGATCATGAGGAGGACGGGGAGGAACGGCAACAGCACGACACATGATCCGAGAATGTCCCATCTCGCATCGCGGCGAAGCGGGCCCGATAACCGAATAGTTCACGAACTAGCCAATGGTAGAAGCGACCAGAAAAACGACCGAAAACGAGGGGGCGCCAGAACTCACGCGCGGGAAAGCACGTGGCCGCCAGCTGGCATGATGGAGCCTGTTGAAGGCTCTGTTGACGAGATGGGAGCCGCGAGCATTGCCACATATCGCCTCGCGGGCGAAATCGCGGAGCGCGTCGGCTGCATCTGCGGGGCGGAAGCCGTTTCCGACAGCGCCGCTTTCTACAAGTCGAACGCGCCGATCGCCCGGAGTGCCGCCGGAGAGGCCCTGGGTCGGCCGTCCAGGCGCCGCGCTGGGAGATAACGCGCGCGCGGGCGAACTGAATTTACGTTCACATACACACACACATATATATATATATATATATATATATATATCTGTATGTATACAACTAAAACTCAGGTGCGCTTCCGTCCGAAATGGACTCAAGCCAAGACGCTGCCGACCCATGGTGAGGGTGCCGCTGAAAACGCAACGCTGGCGGCTGTCCTCTGGTCGCGGGCGCGTCATAGGGGCACCCGCCGGCCCTGCAACAGAAGCTGCGGGCTGTGCTGCAGCCGCTCCGAGCACTGCGAACGTGACGCGCCTGTGCTCTTTGAGGTAGGTCGGGGGGCAGTGGCGAAAGTGCCGACCCACCGAAAAAGGGCGCGATGGCCTGGCAAAGCATCGAGCTCCCTCGCGTCTACGGGTGTCCTACTACGTATTGCCGCGGGCGGCCGTAAGACAACGCGGAATGCCCCCGAGGCCTGGGCTTGACATCCGTCCCGCTCCTGGGGGCGAGGGGCCCCTCGGGATCCAGGGGGAAGGCGTATCGCGCAACTGCCGCTCAGCTGCCGTCACCTCGGCCGTTGCGTCGCGGAGCGAGAGCAAGAAGACCTGGTCAGTGCGCCACATGAGCTGCCCCGCCCTGGAAAGATTCCTGGCGCCGTGGGCCAGTCGGGGGAGCTGGCGAGCGAAGGCCTGTATCCAGAGACCGCCGTGTGTGGAATTCTCGATCTCGCGGCCCTGGCTTTGACCGCGCGGGCGGCGGCCTGGACGTCGGGGACGTCCTTCGGGAAACTCGGCGACCCCAACAAATTCCAAATCGTTCGCGGGAAACCCATTCTTGGGACCGCGTGCGGCCCGCTTGCAGCTCAATCGCGTCGAAGGCGCAAGGCAACGTATCATGATGCGCGACGAACATGGCCACTGAACACACGAAGGCCGGTAGGCCAAGATGGTAAGAAGAAGGCCAACGCCCATCTGCCCCCTGAGCACGGTTCTGTCGACGAATTTTCTGAAAGTGGAATTCCATGAGCTGGTGCCACGGCCTGGGCCGACGACCATGTCTGTGTACTTCGCCATGTCCTGAACTAGGAAGGCCCCCCAAAGGCGAGGCTTCCCTGATGAACCGGCGATGCAGCTCATCACAATCATGCCTGAGAAGCGGCACGAGGACAATCTTGTCGACGCTTAGCCGAAGACCTGAGATGCGCTCATACTCGAAGAACATGTCCTGGATAACGCCTCTGTGCTGGAAGATGGCACATTGCACACGGGCAACGTCGTCCGCGTAAGCGCGCACTCGGGCTTCCGTGAAACGGCAGCCGACACGCCAAGCTGAATGTCCGATGCCACCGCGAAAAGCAACGGGGACAGGGGGCAACCTTGGCGGATGCCTCGTGCCAAGTCGAACCAACGTGCGGGATGCCGCCAAAGGCGATAGAGCACGAGTTGCGGTAATACAAACAATATGTAATCCGCGCGCTCAAGTTCTAGCGCAGTCCAGCGGGTTCGCTGGAAAAGCTTGAACAGCGCTATCATGTACTGCGTGCAATAATCGTACCCATCTTCACCATCATTATCATTCCCATCTTCGTTCCCATCCACATACTTCTCCATCATAACAACCATCATGGACAGAATCATCGCCACAAACAACAACCGCATCATATGGAGACTCCTTGGCCCAATGCTGCTAGCCATGCCGTCACGTAAGAATCGCGCAACCTCGTCATTATCAACATCCGCATCATCCAAGCAATCAACTCGATCATCAACAATCTCATCAACATCAACACCATCATCATCATTCTCACAAACGTCACCAGTATCGTCGTTGTAATCCTCATCCTCATCCTCATCGTCATCATCGTTGTCGTCATCATCATGTTCATCCTTGTTCTCACCCTCCTCTGAATTACCATCCCCATTCTCGCTCCAATCACCATCATGAATTCCGCTACGCCACCATCAACGTCTGGACCATCACCAACATGAATCACCAAAACGAGACTCGCCATCGC